TTTTTGTCAGCTTCATTTCCAATTCCACCCTGGAGCTGGCACAGATGCTGCAAGGTAACACCATGCGGCCGCCCGCTTCTTATGTCGCCCTCGCGGTATCCGGACGCAATTTGTTATGCCAAATAGCGCGGGGCAGCGATCTATCGGTGGCACGCAATTCCGCCCTTGAAACATGCACGGCTGTGGCACAGCTGTTCAGTGGTATCGATTCGTCACTCGAACGCACGCTCTTATCTCGAGACACGGTTGACATCGATCCTGTCCTTGCATCGCGGACGTGGGACTGTGGAGGCCAAGCAGTTGTCGCTTCGCCTAGCGGCGCTTTGGAGGCAGCAGACGCAAGCATCATTGCACCAGGGCGCAATCCTCCGGCGAGTGACGCACTTACCACATCCCAAACCGCTGATCCCGTCACCCACGACGGAGCTCTTCCCGATGAAGTCTCAAGCGTCCCTCGCTACGATTCTCACTTCCTCGACTCGCTCGAAGAACTTTTCGGACATTCAAATCAAGTTTATGGCAGTTTAGGATTCCCTTTTCCAATGCAGTAATGCCATTTATCGGGATTCTTTTCGTGCTGGCGTATGTCACTCACTCAATGCAGGGCTCAGTCGCCAGAACAGTCAGAATCATGTTGCAAATTGTACGGGTTTATACACACTTAGGCTGATGCCGGGGTCATAAAGCACATGATTTGACTAATTTTCGTATAGTGCGGCCGGGCTTGTGATCCTGACAGGCCATTCTCGAGCATCAGCGCTTGCTTGGATCATTCCATCGTCGACACACTCTGGTCTCGTTGAACGATGTAGCGCGGAGTGCCACCCGTCCCCTCTAACCAAGCAATCCAGATCATGACAGGGCGTCTCAAGCCCCTCGCAGGATGGGCAAAAAGAGTTAGGAGAAGAATTTGGCAAGGCAACGCCGCGGAAAATCCGATGCCATCGAGGAAACATCAGTCCGCGCTCGTGCTTCCGCCATCCAGCGACTGGGCGCCACGGAAATGCAAGTAAGCAGTAGGGACAGCGCCACGATCGAGAGAGCCAAGGGAGCCGCGCTTGCGGAACACGGATTCCCTTCGTCAGCCTTGACGAGCCGGAACAGCTTTTCGAAGGGGAACGAGGCGCCTCACCAGCGTCACTCCAGTGAGACTTCGGGTGGTTCGCGGCAAGTCCAGGCGGAAAAGTGGAGATTCGGCATGTCAGGTCTGTGACAGGACTGAGTCTCGCTGGTATATCGATGGCTCCAGATATCCGAAGTTCTTGTCGGCTCGAGAAGTACCTCTAGGCAGCGGCAATCCAGAAGATCCTAGGCAGATTGCAGGGGAAGTGATGCTCAAAAAGTTCATGCACCGCTTGTCTGCAGGACTGCATCGCGCAGTATCACCGCGAAGGGATCCGCCGGGACATTGTATTAGCCCTTTAGCAACATCAGATCTGTACTCGCTATGTGGTTGCGCGAGATAGAATTCACGCTTAGGTTTCGCTCGTTTTGCATCAAAGCCGATGTTCGGTATGGCTCTTCAGCAGCCACAAGCTTCTTTTCTGCTGTCCTGAGCGTACAGTTTTCTTCCAGTCGCGATGCTCCATGCTCGTAGGCACTGTCTTACAACGATGGAGCCTCTCCTCGCATCTTCCTACCTATCTTCCCGACGCTGACAGCGCTCGATCTTCGATGCCACGCTCGAGAGAGGTGCACGCCTCAAGTGTTGGTGGGATTCCGCCTCGCCAGCCCCAGTGCCTGCATCGAGCGCCCCATGCACCACAGATCATACCATACGCGCCCTGGAGGCGCGTGCACATTTCCACTCAGGGGTACAGCGCAGGTATCCCTGGCCCTCGCTCACGTAGACACTTAGTCCCACAAACACGCGCACACCCGCAGACAGAATCATTATCAA